TCTTCTCAAAATTATTTTTACAATATAAGAAACTCCTTCCTTCAAAAATTACACATTTAACTATAAGTTAATATCCTTATATTGTTTTGTTGGCTTGGTTTTCGATTGACGCAGGCTACTCTGTTCAAGAGTTAATAAAGAATTAATATATTAAAATTTTTCAATTTCTAAACATTGCAACTTAATTGCTTTATTTACATTTATACACAGTATTTTTGTTGCAATTCAAATTCTAAGAAGATTTGATCCTTTTTGAGTTAGTTGAGGTATGTGCGGTATAAATTGTACTGCTATGAATAAAGAAGTGTTACGTTTAAAAAACAATTAATGAAGTTCCCTATTCCCCTTTCCATTCTTATGAACATTATTCAAAATTTCACTACGACAAGGCGTTATACTGCCTACCTATAGTTTTCAAGATTATCTTGAAAGTTATAATTAATTAACGTCAAACAACACGCGAATCAAGCAAATGATTTAATATTTGTCAATGATAAGACTGTTGTTAATATTTAACTGCACGCTTCAACTCTATGCTTGTTCATAAATCATTGTTGGACAGCACTCCTTATCATGCATATAAATGCATTTCAAGCGAAGCCTTAACTGTTTGTACGTGTTAAAACTATACTCTTTTTCTACGAACCATGATAAATCATGGAACAACGCCTTTAAAACAGACCCACGCAAAGCGTTAACAGCCTGCATTTACCCTTCAGTATTAAACTTATTATGCAAACATTTATTTTCATATTAAATATGTATAAGACAAATTAATTTCTGTTTATTCAATTTTTACTAAAGATATCTTCTTTGTTGAAAAATCACCGATTATTAGTTACGTATTAGACATTTCGTTTTGTAATAATAACAGCGACCGTCGTTACCCCATTTTCGCTTACTACAGAAATCTGCTTTAAAATGGAGTGAGGTTTACGGGATTGAAGAAACGACTGGTTTACAGAGAAAAGGAGTACTTTTTCTGTGGGACAACACGCTGGTCCACATATTGCACAATCAACACTTGAAACCACTGAAAAATTAGACTGAGAGGTTTTGTGGTATTCGCGTTGTAAACTTACATCTCTCCTCCAGATTTCTTTTTGTTTGGATCTCTTAAAGAATCATTACGGTGCAGTCAAGCTTAACAGTAAGGAGGAAGTCGAAACAAATGTCCAAAAGTGGCTTGGACTTCAAATCGAAGAATTTTTTGCTGCTGATATAAACGAGTAGTGCAATAATGGGACACGTGTATGAGTTGTAGAAGGAGGTTGTGTCGACAAAAAAATTCTTAAATTAATTGAATAAACCATATCAACGTTCTTAATATTTTACAATTTTCCTATCTATTTAAGGTTAAAAACAATAAAAACTTTTTAAAACCCTTTTATACGCCTCCGAATGCGATGGATAAAAAATAACCAACGTTCTGGCGTTTTCAATTTCAATATCGGAGATATACGCTCAGCTTTAGAACAGAAGATATTGTCCAATCAAGCTGAAATTTTGCACACGTATTACTGGTGTTATAAATGGATAAGTTCTTTCCACCACCTAATACGATCCAATAAAACAAAAAATGGTGGTTTTTTACTCCACCATAGTGTACATCGCGTTAAATATTATTACCCATAATTAAAGATAAAAAAAGCTATCTAATGAAATTATCAACATATTTTAAAAGTTTTTAAGAGCAGTATATATTCGCGGCGATAATAATACGTTGTTGGTCTGATTAAAGAGGTATCCTTGGTATTTTAACATCCGCGGGATTGGGAAAGTGGAAACGTGATAGGGACAGCTATCGTCCGCCGTGAAACCTAATCGTGCAATATCCTCGCTTAACCTGGCATACTTAAGCTAAGTCGGCTCTAAGTCTGTCAAACAAACAGCTATCCAAATATTTGAACTTCATACATGACGCTTGAGGTCCATTGAAAGGCTTAAATTCTCCCTAACACTGTTTCACTGTCACGCGATTATAAATTATTCTCAGAATTCTATTTAGATGTAAATAATGTAAAATCAAGCAAAAAGAAATTGCTCCATTACGAAAATTTTAATACTTTTTACTGTCTTCGAATCAAATAAATAAATAATCTGTTCCTTTATGCCCAATTTTAAATTCACACAATTAAATAACTCAAATTTCTTTTTTCCCTATCTTTAATTAAAGCAGGATAAAAATAAACGAGAATAAACAGCATAAATGTATGTTTGTTCCAAAATAACAAAAACCGCAATTATTTTTGCATCAACCGAACATATTCATAGCTTTTGTAAATGTTTAAAATAAAAGCGAGTAAAATGAAATTGTACCACGTTGATAATGACCGCAGGTGTTAAATATTAAATAAAAAAAAGCTTTAAGGCAGTTGTACTGAAAAATAATAAAAATTATACCAAAAATAAATAAAATAAACAATACTGTTTATAGTGTTGATAATTAATCTAAAGGTTGAAACGGTTCGAAATCGTATTATAATTTGTTAGAACTCGAAATAAAATGTCTCGTCATTTTCTCCACCGATGTATGTACTTATTCACGGACGGACATTAATTATGCAACTTCGTATTTGTAGGTTCTTGGTCTCGTATCTTGTAACGCGTACCATGCTGCGTTTAAGTAGATTTGAATTTATTTAAATAAAAATTACACTATACCACCGTTCGCTTCCTCTATTTACCTTCATTTCTTTTCCTCTTTCATTCCGGTTCCATTTAAATTTCATGCCAGCCACGCGTGTTCCAAGCGAATGTGTAAATACCGTTCAGGTAAAAAATCTGTTCAATGCAGTCGCGCAAATTGTTTCCAGACCAAAGTTGTGGATTGTTCGAACCGCTTTCAAGCGAGGCATAGTAGAAACTTTTTAAATTAAACCCCCGTTGTTACCAATGATTTTATGATCTACAGGTGTGTAAATGAAACTTTTATGATTTTACCAACACCGTTTATTTCGATTTCGCAACTTGGTGACCGATACTTGAATGGCATAGCATGTAATTCCCACAGAAACACAATACAATAATTGCTTTTCATAAACAAGGTTTCTTCGTAAGCGTAATGCCAAAGAGTAATAAGAATTACTTATTAAATTCTTTAGTCTCAATAAAAGAAAATAGGTACTGTGAATTACAGATGCAATACTAATTTTCTGCAGTAACAATGTAGAGGGCAATATTGAAAATAATATTTTTTTAATAATTTTATCACTGGCTTTCAGTTTACGTAGATAAAATGTTATGCAAGGCAAATTTGCAAAAATCGTGTCAATTTCTGATATGCAATTTAAATACAATTCAACAATTTATGTCAATTTGATTGCTTGCATAATAGAATTTAAATTCAGCAATTTCAAATTTTGTTGCACATTGCACGTTTTCGAGATATATTGTTGAATACATTTTTCATTCCACTCTTGAATTTATCGTTTTTTATACCCAATTGTAAGGATCTCTGCATAAACCTTCGGACGAATTTACTACAATAAAGTAGAAAGTAATTAAACATTACTAAGCGTGTTACGGTTTTCAATTTCTGACGAATGTCGATGCAAAATTGCAAGTAAATCTCCCGAGTAAAAATTTCACGATACCGCCAATTTCTTTCGCACAAACGGCTTTCCACGGCAGCAATTCACGATTACTCAATCGCGAATTAACGAAATTTGCTTACGCTCCAGTTTTTCGGCCACAACGTTCGTTGATTGCTCATGCGAGAACTGTAGCTTTTTGTTCTACAGATGCCGCTGTACCAGCTAAAAGTTATTAAATAGAATCGATTCTTACGGGAGCACCGCTCAAAATTCGGGTCACCGATTCCCCTGCAATTCTATACGGACATATACGTTCGCGTGCACCTATCGGATGCCTCAAGCAATAACTAATAAGAATAGTACTAATTGAGGCATGAAAATGATTATAATTTGGAACGACTCGACGATCTGAATGCAGCACGATTTTAAATTTAATTTTCTTTCAATTAAATTAGGTTTAATTTACCGTTCAGTTGAATATTCGGGTATGCCAGCTATGAATAGCTAGTCACCATATTTTAAATATATTTAACAATCTAATAGAAAAACTATTATAAACGAAAAATGAATCAGCAAAAAATTACAATGTTAAAACCTAAGCCCTGCAACTGGATTTAGTTATAACTCAAACACGATATAAAACAGAAAATAAAAGAGATAAAATAATCAATTGAATATTGATAATTAATTTTCTTGAAAACAATGTCGTGAAATTTTATACCACATTTTCGAATTATCTTTGCATGAAGAATTACCCCTTTTACGTTAATTGTCGAAGCCGGATCCCCAAGCCACCTGCACTTGACGTTTAGAGTCACCGTATGATAAATTATCACTCATCACTTCAATGCATGAAAAATGGAATACTTGTAGTATTTATTTTATCTCAGCGAAAAAGTTTTTAATGAATTAGCAAGAAAATAAATCCAAGCATAAGCCTGAGAATGGTGCGGGTGTACGCGTATAGTGTGCTAAAACACCATTTTGTTAATTAAATTCTGAATTGAATTGAAATAATTGTAGAGAAACGTCGTTAAAAAGTTTCAGCGATAAGAGCTTTAGCTTTTTGTTTCGCCTATCTCACAAATTAATCATTTTGCGACCAGAGTATCCTAGTACCTTTTACGAAAAATAACGAGAGGATTTGATTTACGTAAAAAGAATATACATGCATTTCCATTAAAAGAACCGGTGCAGCTTTAAAACATCCATGCATCGTTACATTCGCAAAGACAAAAAAGTATGATTCTGAAACTACAGTCCTCTTTGATCTATCCGCCTTAATCCTCTTAACACTATTTTTCAAATTCTCGATTTCTCGAAAGAGGCCGGATTTGTTATAATAGACCAGACATCCCTTATATAGAGGTAAATTCGTTAATCATAGCGATTTAGAATGATTTTTTTTTTTTTTAAAGATAGATGGTAAATGCACGTATACAACATCGTTAGTGGAGGATTTACCTTGTAAGTAGAAAGATTTGCAACCACACAAGCGAGTACTGCTTCCCTGCCCATTGGGACTGTCACGTTTGTTATTGGCACAGTAAAACTCGGTCCTTCTGTAACACAAAGTCGTCGTTTTCTAAATATTTACACTTTGTTTGAAAAATGTCAATACCGGTATTTATTCGAAGTTATATAATTATATGTACACATAGGAGTGGAATGAAGTAATTGAAAATTCTTTTTAAAGATAAATTTGCAAAAAAATAAATGAACTCGCTTCTATTCGTTTTCTATTACAACTGCGAGGGAAAAGTAACTCAAGTTTAACGGGTTAAATAATAAATAAGAAGTTTCGGATCCGAATTCCTTATTGGTACAGTTGTATCGATTCGAGGAAATTCAATAAAAGCAGCGGGAAAGTTTCAAGGGGACATTTTGTTTCTACCATACAACAAACTCGTCTGATTTCACGTACCCTAAGTAACTCATTCTCTTCGTTCTGCTGCATCGACATACAGCGGAGAATTTACCGACATGAAACAGTTTGCTTTTGCTCGACATATCGCTCGCGACAGACTGCAGACGCGTGCAATACAAGCACCTGCACTCTGAAATGTATATCAAACTAAACACAGTTTCACTGTTAGCAAATTGCATTCCATTCCCTGGGTGTAAAATGGTAAAACATTCGACCGTAGTGGCTGAAATTGAATTAAAGGTCAAAAATATATCAAATATCGTTGATAACTTAGGATGTCAAAGCAAGATTTAAATTAATTATAAATTGCAAATGATTCTCTGATGTGTGGGTACCCGAGAAGTCTGGACGGCTCGGAAAAGGGCGAGCGGACTCAGGCGGGTTTCCGAACTACATGAATGTTCGGCTAGGCCGAATTTTTCCGAACCCGCCCGATCCCACCCAAGATAGTAATTTCGGGTACCCGCGCACCCCTAATATGCAGATCCTATAATATGTAAAATTTTGTTAACTGGTCAAGGTGATCTAATTTCCTAAAGCTCCTTCAGAAAGTGAAAAGTTATTTTCAGATACTTTTAATTCCTTTCCTGCACGTTTGAAGCACTCTGTAGAAGGGTTTAAGTAGGTATATACGAATTGCAGGAAGGCGATAGAGAGGTAAAGAGGGCGGAATGTTGGCAAGGGGTCTGAAACTCGGTGTGAGCCAACAGATAAGCACTGATCCCAATTACACGTTGGGTAGACCGGTTTCCAGGCAGAACGGATCATGGAATATTGACTCCATCTTGATTACTTGGCTCCCATCAATACAATTGAGTGATCGATATACCTTGAATTTCCACTACTTGACTTGTACACGTATCGTGTTATGCTCGTGCACACGGAAGATTGCTTCTTTTTTTTATTACACATTCGATTGATATTTCAAATATTTCGAAATTGAATGTATTGTATTTGCTATTCTATTAAAAGAGACATGACAATACCTTTTACGTTTATAACATAGCTACGTGCACGGTAGATTGCACCTTTTTTCCATTTCAATACTAGTTAATATTTGACAAAATTGAAACCAAAGTATATTTACTGTTCTATTAAAAAAGACATCAAAAAAAATTTTTTTTTATATTTGCAAGAAATTTTCATTCCAAGGTAATTAAAATATTTTTTAAATTTATACAAAAATTGTTTGATTTTTACTGAAATTTTGTATTAAACATTTGATAACTGTTTATGTATAGCTTGTGATATAAACAATTATATGCTGTTGATATACATAGTGATACAATTACGGTACTGTTAAATAATGTAATTCTGATTATGGTATGAATAATTAGGACATCGTTATCCAATTTAGTAATTCGATTATTTACAACGTTGAACAATAATGGTATATTTGGCGTTAACAGATTATGATAATTTTATTCATTATCACAATATTGTGCAAGTCTTTACTATTTTGTATGTGTAGAATAATAGAATAATGGATGTGTATAATAATTATTTTACTTATTAAAGAATATCACGTAAAAGTAAATAAACATAGAAAATGTAGAATTTCTTTTTTTTTCTTTTAACATAAATATGTCTTGATAAATTTACACATATGAAATCTCACTTGTTAAGTTTAATCGACGTTTTTCACACTTTCACAAGTACATTTTTACTTTTGCTCTGTCCCCTACGTAAAAACTCATTTCCTTACATTGCTGAAAAAAAACCATTTCATGAATTTAAATACATGAAATTTTATTTGCAAACTTTAATTTACATGTATTCAGAACTAAATTTCATTTCTGTTTAGTTATTTACATTAAAAGACACGTTTCTGGTAAAAGCAGATATAGTGAATTTACATATACAAAGTTTCGTTTGTAAAAAGTAATTTACCAAATGAAATACAAATATTTAACTTTTAACACTTACTTACGACCATTTATTACGTCTGCATTGCCACACAGAGTTAATTTTAGTATAGATATAAAATTGCAAGATTGATATTTTATAACTTTCAAATTTATATAAACAGATTGAACGCTTAGAGATGTTAAATAGCAGATCAGAATCCAGTGGATAAGAACATGAATACATAAGCTAAATTTTAAACTTCACATTCAGCTAGAATTCTCTCTGATTAATTAATAGCTCCCATGATTGGCGAAATCCAATTAGAAAGCTTAACTAAATTCCGGATTACAATTTAATAAGATTTAGATTGTTTAGTACAGATGAATTTCAAGTCAAAATCCTTTAAGTACAGATGAACTAGGATCAAAATTATTTTCATTCAAATAATATATTACATAGTTAAATCGGCAATTTTTGATAATGAAACAACCAAACTAGTCAAGATGATGGATTTAAAATTTGTTATTTTAATTCTATAATTGAATTTTACTATGCACCACATTATTTTTTTTTATAGTTAATGGTATTATTAAAAATAATAGTGATTATCAACTGACATTAAGTTTCAGCCTTCTATTGCTCAATTCTCCACGACCATCGTTATCAGAACTCATTGTTTCGCCTTCGAACAAAAGTCGAACAGCATAGTTTTCTTTCTAGTGTTGAACGATTTCCCAGCCGATTAAAAGAAACAATGCGAGCGTTCGTTAAAAGCGTAAAAAAGCCGATAGCGAGTTCTTTCGAATGGTTTCAACTTAATTTACTTCTTTTCCCTTTAAATAACTGCTCTGTGTCCGCTTTTAAGCTTTGTCTTCAAAATTCAGTTCGAAAATTTTTATTAAACAATGACTTGGATTAAAAATTTTTATTTTTATTTAAACGATCATTTAGCGAGTTAATGGGTTTGAATTAAATTAGACTAACCTTAAATTAATGCAAAGCTTAGCGACTGAATTACTAATTAAAGTCTCGTAGATATACAGAAGGATAATTCTAAGGATAATTCTTGGTACGCTATTTAAAGATTAAGGCCTTCTACATTTATGAATAAGTTTGAGAAGGAAGTGATAGTAATGTGTAACATAATACAGAATTTAAAATGAAGACCTAATATGAGAAAGTTTTTTCTCAAAATTGTTTAATTATTTCAAATTAGATCGGAACATTTGATTATTAGCTTTATAGATTAAGAAAACTAATTGTTATTTGACATCCCTCTATGTAGGTGTTACTGATCACAATGCGAATAAAGTATAAAACAAAGAAAAAATTTAATCGTTGTATGAGAAAAAAATAGATTTATAACTAGCCATTTTGAGTATGCTAATCGAGATTGCAGGTAAAAACTCGGTCAGGAGGAAACGATGTTTGGGTTCAACGGAGGTAGCTGCAAACAGATTTTCAATTCTGACCAATCCTTCTCCATTAGCTGACTCATTTCAAATGATTTTCAAAGGAAAGAAAAAGAGCTGGAACTGTGAGTGAAAAACTTTCAAAACGAAATGCATGGAATATGAAGGTACTTATGAATACCTTTCATTGGTCAGTTAATTAAAGGAATTGTTCCGACTAAAGTTAGATTATTCCACGACATTAAATAAAAATTGAGTGAAAATTAATGAAAAATATGTCATCAATTGGAATAAATAATTATGTAAGAATTTTCTTTTATATTACTTACTATATTTTGAAACTTTTATATTGTTAAATAGTACCTGCTATTAATTTCTTATTTTGATACCATTAGATGGTAGATGGAGGATACATAAAATATTGGAACTCTTCTCTTAAATCACCAAAAATAAATGTTTCTAGTGGAAACCAGAGATTTTATTTCAATTACAAATGGAAAACGCTACACTTCGCAAGAGTGACGATGAATTCAGCTCTCGAGTCTGAAAGTGATACCTAGTATATAATGTTTCAGCAATCAAAAGTAACCTGAAATCTTCGTGAAAGAACTATTTAAATTTCAACCTGTATAAATCTCGTTTAAACATTCCTGCGTAAACTTCTGTAGAAAATTTATACATACGATGTATTTATATAAAAAAGCTGTACAAAATTAGCGAAAAATTGTGACAAGTGCAAAAAATATTCTTCTTTTAATAATTCACCACTGAACAGAGAGAAATAAGTTTATATAAATGAGTTAATATTTTATGAAAATCTTAGCTATTGTATATCATCTCTTAAAGGGTTAATCTTTGGAATAAATAAGGCAGTGGCGTATCTACAAATAAGAGTTAATCATTTGAAAAATGAAAAGCTTCTCAGTAACATAAAAAGCTTTTGCAAATGAGTAAGAAGAACTTCATTTGACTTTCTACTGTAATTTATTCCTAATGTCCTTTCAATTTCCACCTAAAGTTACTTCTTTGTGAGTAATGAATGCAACCACTAATGAAACACCAGATCTCAACGGAAGATTATCTATAAATTTCATGAAACTGTTTAAAACATTAAAAATTCTATTAAAACCAATGACAATATTGATTTAAATATATATAACTCAACTTCTATCTGCGGCCACTCTTTTTTAAATTCGTGGAACGTTTTAATACTTTGTGATATCACTTATGTGAGAAGTGTTTAGGAAAATTTATAATAACATAATCTATCAATATACAAAAGTTCATTGAAATCTGAATCGATTGATTGCTTATCGGTAGACCTTTCTCTATTTACAGAGTACCAAACCTTATTTCACGTGTACATAGAAAGA